CAGTGGCAGAGGTTGTGTGCTTAAGACCCACACAACATTAAGCCAGCTAAAACCCAGGTGTGGACGGGTGAGAGGTTCTTGAAGTCCCACCTCTACCTGAGAAGCTACTGACAACCGATGGCTGTTAGGGGATATTGGGGAAGTCTGCTGTTTCCAGGGATATGGCCTAGGCTCCGTGGACAGTCCCGTGCCCATGCACGCACAGGCAGCTATGTGGGCTCAGTGGGTTTAAAAACAAAGCTCATAGAGATGAGAGGAAAAAGTGGGAGGGGGCAGATAAGGGGGGGAACTGGACAGAAGGGAATCAGGCAGATTTGATCAAACACAACATTTGCAGATATAAAACTCTCAAACAAGTTCACTCTTCCACAACTAAGAAAATACCTTCTAGATGATTCTATAAAGCAAGGTAACTGACATCTGGGGACAGAAAGCAGGCCAGGGATTCAGGAGCAGGGGTGGTGAGGTGAATTAGGCAGGGTGAATTAAAAAGGGCACAAAGAAGATCTTGGGGGTGATGGACACATCTCCTGGGACTGTGGAAATGGTCTGCAGTGCACACCTGTGACGGCAGCACTCTGGCAGAGACGGATGGACGGGTCTTAGGCTCAAGGCCAGCTTGGGCTGAATTGCAAGACTATGTCCAAACACAAAACTATGGAGGGGTTTGGGTGGGGGAAGCTACAACATACCATCTGCTCCAAGCCACCAAGTCAACCTTACCCTTTGTCAGCTGTTTCAAAAGACAGACATTTGGTTATCAGGGTAGGGATGGAGTAATTCCAGACAAGCACTACTGGGGACATCAGAAAATGCCAATGAAAAGCAAAACGCGGATCTTCCCCGCAAGACAGCATCCCATCAGCACTGCAGGCTTTATGAACGTAGTTCTGCCCTAAACCGACGAACTCTGTAGCGTGGATCGTAATGATAGTAACTATGGGTAAAGTGGTCATACCCGTCAAGTTGGGGTCTCTCTCTCAGTTCATCAGACGAGAGCCCAATCTGTGCTGGTGTGCACACACATGTGCAAAGTCGGATGGAAGATGTCTTTCTTTATTATTTTCCTTTTTCCCCCCAGACAGATGCTATGTGGATAGAGCTAAGTGTGGCTCTGTATCAGAGGAAGACGTGTGTGGAGTGTGTGCTCTAAATCTGATCAATTTCCCAGAGTTTTAAATGGCCATGATAGCAGTCCCCTGTCCTCCTCTGGGCAGGCACTTTCTATTTCTACTGAACTGGGACTTTCTTGCTGAATTGTGTAGCTCCACCCCTGGCTTCTAACAATGTAATTTTCCTTTTACCACTGAAGGGATTTCTACAGTGTGCTCACTCGGGAAAATAAAAGTTTATGTGACTTTCATGAAGATTGTTTTTCCCTGACACATGCTTCTAAACAGAAAATCATGTTTACCTGAGGTTCAATTGAGACCAAACACACTATAAATGGTCTCTTTAACAACTAATTTACATACAGGAAGACTGGTTATTACACCATAGAAACACTGCCTTTCATGGTTTTATGCAAACATGCTTCAGCTGCAGCAGAGAAGGGCCCGGCGGCTTTTCTATGGGCAGGAGAAGCACACTACTGGGAGACTGTAGGAACTGCAGTGCAACCTAGCACGTGGCAACAATTCCAGAGAGTGAATTAACACTTTTACAATCCCAGCTCTAGACAGGGATTCATTTTTACAAACTGTAGGACATTTACAATTGTTCCCTAAAGAAACAAAACCTGTGTGACTTGATATTCACTAAGAAGCAACAGGTAGCCATGTGGTTTTGTTCAGAAACAAAAACTTAAAGTAGAAAAAAAGACTGTCCTTCCCCTTTGAAAGCAAAAGAAAAGAGCAATCAAAGCTGCTTAAAAAAGACCAAGCTGGCCATTTCTAGATCACAACTTTAATCCCAGTACTCAAGAGGCAGAGGGGTCTTTATGGAGCCTGAGGTCTAGGTCAGTCAGGCTACATAATGGGATTGTGTAAAAAAGTGAGTGAGGGTGGGTGGAAATGGCCTGAAGAGGTAAGAGAAGGCTCAGTGGTTAACTGGGCATACTGTTCTTGCAGGGGGACTAGAGTTTGGTTCCCAGAACCCACTTCAGACAGCACACGGCAACCTGTAACTCCAGCTGGAAGGGATCCAGCACCTCTGGCCTCGCAGAGACCTCCACTTGTTTGTATGTGCTTGTGCGTCTACACGCGTGAGCACACACACACACAAATAAAACGACCCCCCAAAAAACAACTCCAAAACACAAAAACCCCTCAAAAAAAAAAAAGACCAAACCCAAAAAACAAAGACCAAAGCTTTTTAACTCACTGAATATGAATTAGGAACTAATAATAAAAAGAAAATCATTGTTAGTTTAGAAAATCTACAGAGAAACCCTGTCTCGAAAAATCAAAAAAAAAAAAAAAAAAAAAGAAAATCTACCAAGTATTTGTTAAGCAAAAGAGCTGTAAGATGACATCTAGCATTGCTACAGAACCCTAACAGGCAGGCAGACAGAAATGATCCCACAGATGAAATGAGATTTCACTTTAATGTAAAGAATCTGGCAGGGGGCCAGAGAGATGGCTAGGTGGTTAAGAGCATGGTGCCTCACAAAAGTCTGTAACTCATTTCAGGGAATCTGATTTCCTCCTCTGGCTTCCCAGGTACACATACATTGCACATACATACATGAAGGTAAAACACTCCTACACATAAATACAAATAAATTCACAACAGCAGCAGCAAAGGATCTTGTTGAGGACTGTGCCTCTAACCCGCCTGTGAGTAACTGACTCAGGGAGATGTTTAAAGACGCCTGTCTTGTGGGGAGCCACACTGGATGGAGGCCGAGCTCAGCTACATCACCTACAGGCCACACAGATGGAGAATGCCACTGGCTGTCTAAACAACTCCCTTATAGAGCTTACAGCTCCTGCTTCTCTGGATCCTTTCAACTTTTCAGACCATTCTTATAGTAAAGAGAACTAGACACATGTAGAAAAACCGCTAGGAAACACGCGCAGCAAGCAGCCAAGGCACCCTATGGCACAGAACAGAGAACAGCTTCTGCTAACTCCAACACTTGCCTGGGAGTACTATGGCAATCTTAAGGCAATGCATCAAAATGGCAGTCATTTTATTTGTTCAACAAATATTTGACGCTAGGGATGTGGCTTAGTGACTGATCGTGTCCCCGAGTTAAACTTCAACAACAAAAATTACTACAGCAAATATTTACCAGGTATCTACATCAGGCTGTCAAGCTTAGGGGAAACGAACAGCGAAGTGACACACGTAGCAGGTGCCATTCTGCACCCTCCTAGGCCGGGGAAACGGTCCCTTTCCATTGCAGGCGTCCTCTGCCACCCCATCCAAACGGTCTCTTTCCGTTGCAGGCGTCCTCTCCCACCCCATCCAATTCCGAGGGGATGAGGGCGGATGAAGGACACAGAACAACAGGTACTAGCAGGGTTAAGAATGGGATCAAACCATCCTTGGTTCTTTTCCTGTTCTCCTCATTGTCAGGCAAGGACAAGGAATGGGAAGGTGAGGTGTCCTGAGGCCAAGCTAACTAGTAAAGTCAGTCTTTTATAAACTAGCATCACTCTAAACCTGACAACGACATGTTTGCTGTCGAGATGCGCTGCTCTTCGTAGGGAGTCATTTGTCTTCAGCACGCTCAACTTTCGCCTGCTTTGGTTACTGCCCTTTGGCTTTGGGGGGTCTCGTCTGCAGAGATTCAACCAATACTCGGAAAAGTCTCTTCTCCTCTTATCTAAACATGTTAAGACAGAAGGGAAAGATCTCCGTGCAAGTGTAAAAAGCTCCAAGTTGAAAGGGGGTGCATCTGCTTGGGTTTTTATAGGCTGGCAGAGTTTCCATAGATTGTCTCTCCTCACTAATACACCTTTCCCAAGCTTTGCATTCTAACTGATAACAAATTAAGTAACCGAATTTCCTTTTATTTTTTTTTTTTAAAAAAAAGGTCTTATTTAGTGATTATGTATACTACAGTGTTCTGACTGCATGTATGCTTTCAGGCCTGAAGAGGGCACCAGATCTCACTATAGATGGTTGTGAGCCACCATGCGTTTGCTGGGAATTGAACTCAGGACCTCTGGAAAAGCAGCCAGTGCTCTTAACTGTTGAGCCATCTCTCCAGTTCTAATTTTTTTTTTTTTTTAATTTTTGAGACAGGGTTTCTCTGTGTAGCCCTGGCTGTCCTAGAACTCACTCAAGAGATCTAACTGCCTTTGTCTCAGGAGTATTGGAATTAGAGGCATGTGCCACGACGCAACCACATCCTGCCTAGCAATAGCTTTACGGAAACCTTGATGTCCTGGACATTTTATCCCGAGCATCAGTATATGAATGCATATATACTGCTCATGAAATAGATCTCAGCAAGTTCTCAAAGGGCGTCAGCACTTAAAAACAGTCAAAACACAAAAGAAGTGCAAGGCTCAAGGTTTAGAAACCTAGCAGAGACTAAGGGGGCTATTTTTGGGCAGAAAAGCTTCATCACTTTTCCCTCCCTTGGTTTGTTTCTTTTCTTTTTTGTTTGTTTTTATTTTGGTTTTTTGAGACAGGGTTTCTCTGTGGTTTTGGAGCCTGTCCTGGAACTCGCTCTGTAGACCAGGCTGGCCTCTAACTCACAGAGATCTGTCTGCCTCGGCTTCCCGAGTGCTGGGATTAAAGGCATGCACCATCACCGCCCGGTGGTTTATTTCTTGAGACAGGGTCTATGTAGCTTTAGATGATCTGTAAATTGCTATGTAGACCAGGCTGACCTCAAAGTCAGAGATACATACCCGTCTCTGCCTCCCAAGCACTGGAAAGGTATGTGCCACCACTCTTGACTTAAAAATCTTGACACAGAGGTGGGTGCCTAAAGCAACTGTCAATATGTCCCACTGCCACTCCAAAAACGACACCAATATTCACTTAAATACACTACAGAAATGACCTTCAACACAGGATCCCCAGGCCCTCTCTCTACATACCTTTAAAGCTTCTATAACGAGGTCCCTTGCTTCAAGTTCTCCTTCAAGAATACTGAACAGTGTCAGGAGTTCAGGCTTGCTGAGTTTTTCCAGATTCATCCTGAAAGTCTTAAACAAAGACAACAATCAGTCTCTGGAAGAGGAGGGAGCTTGACAGGAATGAAGGGTAAGAAGGCAAGACAGAATATACCCTTGGGAGCTGCGACCCAAAACAACACCCAAGGTTTCTGATGCCAATCATAAACTGAGCAGGAAGAGACAAATAAAATCCCCTATGAATTATTGATTCCATCACTAACATCAATTATTCATTACCTTTTCCAGGCTGGTTTGCAACCCGGTCTCAGAAAGGTTCAGGAACTAATTCTGTGTGCTAGAAACTGAGGTAGAATTGGGTTCCACTGGGTACCATTTCACTAAAGAATTACTGGATCCCACAGAGATCCTCAGTTTAGGTAATGCACGCAGAACATTCTGGGATCTCCCTTCTGTTTGGTTGAAGTTTAACCAAAGGTAATATGTGCTGTGAGCAGAGGAGTAGTGCTCACAATGTTTCCCCATCCTTCAGTAGAACAGGCCTAAAATGGAGAGAAGCCCTTGTGTGGTTTCCTTTTTTTTTTTTTTTGGGCTTTTTGAGACAGTATTTCTCTGTGTAATAGTCTAGGCTGTCCTGGAACACGCTCTGTAGACCAAGCTGGCCTTGAATTCACAGACAGCCTCTGGTCTCTGCTGGGATTAAAGGCGGGCACATCACCACCAGACCTAGGAGTGCTTAGAAAGAAGTCCTGGTCCAAGCCTTAAGATAATTTATCTGGAGCACAGATAAAGAGACAGATTGTCTCAAAAAAACCCAAAGAAACAAAAACAAAAAAAAACATGTTAAAATGTGAAGTAAACCAAATAAGTGTTTTTCTCAGAAACCTGAAAATGACTTTATCCACAATTGATAAATTATGAAAAAATATAAATGAACTAAACACAACCCAGTATAAAGAAATGCATTTTTGAGAGTCCCAGCCTCTCAAAAAAACAAAAACCAAAACCGAAAAAAAAAACCCACCAACAAAAAAGGATAAAATTAAACGAGTAGCCTCATATTTTAAAAAGATCTTACTCTTCTCTTTAATTGTGTGCCTGTGTGCAGATCTGTGCATGAGGACAGAGCCCGTGGGCCAGAGGACAACACCGACTCCTCTGGAGCGGGAGGCACAGGAGGCTGGGACCAGCTGATGTGTGCAAGGGCAGCCAGTGCTCTTAACCAAGGAGCCGTCCTTCATCCTTTAGTTTATTTCTTTTTTTAATAACCAGCCTATGTGGTGCAGGCTGGCCTAAAACTCACTATGTAGTTCAGGCTGGCCTTGAACTCTTAGTCCTGCTACCTCAGCCTCCAGAGAGCCAGGAGGAGTCGTGAGTTAAATATCTTAATGAGCTAGGCTACAACAAATTTAACTTTTTATGGCCATTATTTTGTTCCTTGAGATATGGTCTCACTATATAGAGCAGCTTGGCCAAACTTCCTATGTGGATCAAGCTGGTCTTCACTTGTGGCAATCCTTGGCCTTTACTTTCCAAGGGCCAGGATTACAGTCAGTATTCCTTGTTCACAGTGGTGGCTTCCACAAAGACCTTTTCATTCAACTGTATCACAATCTTGACCATATTCCCCTCCTCAAATGTTCTCCTTTCTCCCCAGACACACCAGTCCTCTCCCGCCCCCCACAGTCTTGCTTCTACTTCCAGGTTGTGTGTGTGTCTTAGGTTTGTCTCCTTTCTCTCTGCTGCCCTCTTCCTTGTCTCTACATAGTCATGGCTAGTCTTGAAGTTGCACAATCTTTCTGCTTCTGCTTCCTGGAATTACATCACACTGGTCTTATCATCATCTTGATAGTCACCCTGACAGGTGAGATGTAATCTCAATGCATTTATTTGCTGTCTGAGAATGTCAAGTATTTTAATTTTCCTGTTTTTTTGGCCATCTGCACTTCTTTTGAAAAGTGTTTGTCTCATTTGCCCATTATTGATGAGGTTGGGTGGGTTTTTTTGTTATTTGTATTTATTTTACATGTATTTATTTATGTATTTTTTGTGTGTTGTGTGAGTGTGCACAGACACACATGCCAAAGCACATGTATGGAGATCAGAAAACAACGGGTGGGGTTGGGTCTCTCATTCCACCATGTGGGCTTCCATGATCCAGCTCACGGTACAAGGCTTAGAAGGAAGTTCTTTTTCACCCACTGGGCTGTCTTGCAAACACTACTCTTCAGCCTTGTATAGCTGGCGAAGTTTCCCCCCAATTCTGTAGCTGTCTCTGTCCACGACTGTTTCCTTTGCTGTGCAGAAACGTTCTCTCATTCCATTCGTCAGTTCTTGGTTTTATTTCCTGAGCTAACTAGTCTTTTTTAGAAATGCCTGTATCTACATCAAATGTATCCCCTAATAGTTTCAGGTCTTATATTGAGGTCTTTGATCCACCACATTCAATTGATTGTAGTACAGGGATATCATTTATCTAGCACATTTGTTGAGGAAGATGTCTTTTCTCCAATGTATGCCTTTGGCATCAAGTGGTCACAACTGTGCAGGTTTATATCCAGGCCCTGTGTTCTGTCCCATTGATCCACACATCTGTTTTTGAGCTAGTAGCACACTATTTTCATTACTATAATTTGAGACCTACGATAAATATAAGTAGACTATACCTTGAGGTATTGTGACATCTCTAAATCACTCACTCAGGATTGCTTTGGTTGTTCCAGGTCTTTTGTGATTCCAAATTTGCGTTCGGGTTGTTGTTTCTATTTATATATTTTTTTTCTTGTGTAGGCTAGGCTGCTTTATAATTTAAGTGACTCCGAAGGTGACAGCAATTTTATTCTTTCATAGAAATGTATATTACTGTAGCAGGTCAGAGACTTTGATCTGGGTACAGTCTGATTTAGCTAGGGTGGGTGAGTGTGTGTGTTTGTGTGTGTTGGCTTTTGTTTTCGTGGTGTAGGGGTAGACCCAGGATCTAGACTGCCAGCGCACATTACGGAGCTTCACCTTCAGTCCTTAGGCGGAGTGTGGACTAGGAAGGATTTTGGAGAGCACTAATTTGTTTTTTGTTGTTTAGGTTTTGGGTTTTGAGACATGGTTTTCCTGGCTGTCCAGACATGTTGCCCTGGCTCTCCTCCAACTCATTCTGTAGCCTAGGCTGGCCTCCACTCAGATCCACCTGCCTCTGCCTCCTGCATGCTGGGATTAAAGGTGTGCACCACCCAGCCTAATTGTTTTGTTTACCTGTGTGTTCCTCACAGCCATCTAGCTGTTCCTGTCCAAGCCAGGACTCGCACTGTGCACTGTCAGTGGCCCCCTGTGTTTTACTCTCTGGCACTGTGCACTGTCAGTGGCCCCCTGTGTTTTACTGTGTTTTACTCTCTGGCACTGTGCACTGTCAGTGGCCCCCTGTGTTTTACTGTCTGGCACTGTGCACTGTCAGTGGCCCCCTGTGTTTTACTCTCTGGCACTGTGCACTGTCAGTGGCCCCCTGTGTTTTACTGTGTTTTACTCTCTGGCACTGTGCACTGTCAGTGGCCCCCTGTGTTTTACTGTGTTTTACTCTCTGGCACTGTGCACTGTCAGTGGCCCCCTGTGTTTTACTGTGTTTTACTCTCTGGCACTGTGCACTGTCAGTGGCCCCCTGTGTTTTACTCTCTGGCACTGTGCACTGTCAGTGGCCCCCTGTGTTTTACTGTGTTTTACTCTCTGGCACTGTGCACTGTCAGTGGCCCCCTGTGTTTGTTTTACTCTCTGGCACTCGACTTGTAGTTATAGTTTTGGACCTCTAAACAAAAATATTTAAAGACTCTAAAAACATTGAAGAAAAGGGAGTAACGTGAACAGTCATTGAGGGTGTTGCTGCCACCTGGCCTGGGTGCTTGTCTGGCCGTTGCTCTGCTCTGCTCCTTTGGTACTGTGGTGCGCCTTCTTTGCATCAAGGGAAAGAGGAAGAGCATGGAAGGATCTCCTTCTACCTTCTGATCTTGGGGAGGGAAGCAAGAGCATGAACCTAGGGAAGGAGCCCGCATGGCTCGGCGGTGTTAAATCCCTCGCCCAGCTTCACTGCGGGCGTCCTGGCCTCGGGGTGTGGTCAGGACTGCGGAGGGGCAGCTCCTTCAAAGCCTTCTTTAGACCTGTTTGAGACGGTAACCACCTGGGAGATAGCTCAGGGCTTAGGAGGGCTGGGTGTGGTGGCAAGTGCCTTCAATCCCCGAGGTCAGAAGAGGCCAGGCCAAACTCTGTGAGCTCAAGGTCAGGGGGAAAATAAGAGTGCTTGTTGTTCTTTAGGGAACCTGAGCTTGGTGGGTGACAGCTACAGGTTAACTCCAGTCTCAGGGGATTTGATGCTCTTGTCTGACCTTTAATGGCATCCACACATAGCACAGATGTACATATATACATAAATAAATAATAATAACAAGTCAAAAATAATAATTACTCAATCAGGACCATTGAGATGGCTCACTGAATAAAATCACTTGCTGCCCAAGCCTGATGACCTAGGTTTGATCCCTGGAACGGAAGGTAAAGGAGAAAGCTGGCTCCTGAATGTTGCTGTCTGACTTCCCTGTGCACGCCATGGCACGCGTGTTGCCCTCCTAACATCCGCACAAAATAAGAAGTAGATAAGCTATTAAATTTTTATTTAAAGTAATTGATGGAGGTGTAGTGCTTTATGCTTATACTCTGAGCACCGGAGAGGCCGAGACAGGAAGACTGCTTGTTGTGAGTTCAAGGCTAGTCTGGACTTCAGAGAAAGACCCTATCTCCAAAAAAAAAAAAAAAAAAAAAAAAAAGAAAAAAAAAGAAAAAAAAAGAAAAGGAAAAAACAGGGAAGGAACTTGGTCCTTGAAACAGCTCTGGCCATCTTCCAGTAAAGCTTTCTAAAGCCCCACCGCCCAGTCCATCTGGAGGAGGAAGTCTCCCAGTCATTCAAATAGGAAGATGCAGACCTGGCACTGGCCGCAAAGACTTGGGTTCTTTGTTGTGCCCCATGTCGCTTAAGGCAGGACTGATAGACAGGTTTATTAATTGTTGGGGGTTTCTTTTTTTTTTTCTTTTTTTTTTCTTTTTATTTATTTATTTATTTATTAAGGATTTCTGCCTCGTCCCCACAAACCGCTTCCCATTTCCCTCCCCCTCCCCCGATCAAGTCCCCCCCCCCCCTCATCTGCTCGAAGAGCAATCAGGGTTCCCTGACCTGTGGGAAGCCCAAGGACTGCCCACCTCTATCCAGGTCTCGTAAGGTGAGCATTCAAATTGCCTAGGCTCCCACAAAGCCAGTACGTGCAGTAGGATCAAAAACCCACTGCAATTGTTCTTGAATTCTCAGTATTCCTCATTGTCCGCTATGTTCAGCTAGTCCGGATTTATCCCATGCTTTTTCAGACCTAGGCTTGTTGGGGGTTTCTAATTGAGATTGTGTTCTTTGTCGTTGTCTCCCCCACAGTAACTGATGGCACACAGTCTTTAATGCTACTGTGAGCCTCACTGGACTCCACTATCAGGAAGAGGTTATGTTGAGGACTACATGCTAGAACGTGCTCTGGTGATACACTTAAGTACACATCTGTGCATGGTCTCCGTCACTTGAGCACAGCAGCCCTGGAGGCAAGTGAGTGGCTTCTCTGAGTGCCTCTGAGCTTTCAATTGAAGAATAAGGAGAGTATATGAATTCACCGTGTTGCTGTCACTCCAAAGAAAAGCCATGACAGTTACAGTTGAGGTATAAAATGGAAGGAAGGTAGTGTGTGTCCTCCCTTGGAAGCTACGGAGTCGTGTGCAGTGTTCCCGGGTAGGAGACCCTTCATAGCTGGTGGAACCACTGCCTTCTACCTGCGTGTGTTCCGAGACAGTAGCTAGAGTTGGTGCCACACTATTTAGCAGATCCTTGGAGAAATGTGAGCTTATTAAACAGGTTGACTGAAAACACCTCTTAGAACTGGTAAACACTCAGCAAAGTAGGAGAATACAAAACCAGTAGAAAACAGTACCTTTCCCGTGTGCCAGTGGCAAACACCATGAGAAAGGACTCAGGAGATCAGCCCTATTCACAGTAGCTTCAAAAATCGGGTAAAACTAAAATGCCCGGGAGTAAACCTAGCCGGGAAGTAAACTATTTCTGCAGGGAAAGTGCTGGAACACTGAAGAATAACTGAAGAAGACTCTGGAAGATAGAAAGATCTTGTATGTTCATGGGTCGGCAGAGTTGATATCATGAGAATGACTCTTACCGAAAGCAATTTACAGAATCAATGCAATCGCCACCAAAATTCTATTCTCAATATACATTATAATCTTCTTACCATAAAATCTTGTCTGAATTAGAGACATCCAAGCTGCATTATGATTTAGTACGGCAGTGGTGAATCTGTGGGTGGAGAGGTGACACTGACCTGGTATTGGTTGCTGCACTTGCGTCCTCTGGAACAAAGTCTTAGAGATTTCCTTCAGTCAAAATTTTGGAAAATTGACAGATATTTAAAATGCCGTCAGCATGGTAGAAAAGTGTCCAACACTGCAAAACAAGAAGAAGTTCATTGTCTTTGAGACCACACTATGAACAGTGTAGTGAGCCCCATTGGTGGCCAATAGGACCACAGCTGGTAAGGTCTGAGGGCGCCAGGCTGCTAATGTAATCATGGAGGGTGGGAGCTAATGAAACCCGCCCCCCTTTTCTTCTAAGACAGGGGCTTGCTACAGAGCCTGGGGGACCTCAAACTCCAATGCTGATCCTCTCGCTTCAGCCTCTAGCATCCAGAATCTCTTCTGATGTCCAGGGCCACTCTAAGGACTATCTCGTCAAGGGCATTGGACACTCACTTTCCCTGGATCGACAAAAGCCTGAGCAACAGACAGCATGAGTCATGCACAATGCCACAATGCACTCAGAACATAATCACAACCAAAATGTTCCACCTGCCAAATCTGTGTAAGAAAACGTCTCATCTCACTTCCTGACAACCACAAAGAAACAAACCAAGCTGTGACCTTTTCCACTGTTTACAAGGATGACCAAACACTGCCAGCTTCTATTTTCCCATCATGTCTACACATTAAATGCTGACTTACAAACAAATGGTTTTGCTTATATTTCCCCAATGGTACTAAGCTATAGTTAAAAAAAAAAAAGATACACACACCCCTCAATATGCAAGAAGTGAAATTGACCAGAGAAAAAACGGGGCACTGGGAAAGGAGTGGAGTCAGAAAAGGGAGGGTAGGAGGGAAGGGGAATGGGGATGTAGGGGAGTCAGGCTCAACATATAATATATACATGTATGAAAACTTGAAAAAAATGAAATAAAAAACCCAAGAAGAAAAAGGAAATGGGGATCTTTAATTTTATTCAATTTATTCCAATTTATTTACTGAGTCAATAGTTAAACTCTGAACCTCCCAAGTTAGAAGAGGAAGTTTGGGTCTATCACACAGTCAAGAGCAGAAGACCAATAGCACGCAGGGAAACACTAACTAAGCTATTCCAGCAATTTCTGCCAGTATATGGGCAGAATTACATAGCACAAGATTTTCAGAAAAAGGCTGTCACTCATTTGAATCATTGTTGCCAGGTTTTGGGCGCGTATGCCATGCTATACTACAGGCTATAGGCTGCTCTGTTTTCCAAGTGAGCTGTTACTTGTCATTGACACCATCCATGAAGTGACTTTGAAAGACAGGATCATGCCAACCAGATGCCCAGCTTGCTCTTTCCAGCAGACCCCTCCAAAGCCCAGTCTGCCCGAGTTTACCCCCATTCTATCTAAGGAATGAGACAATCTATGAATCAGAAAGAAAAACCACTTGTGCATACGTTGTCTGGACAGATCCCAGTGCCGGCTGACAGTACACTAAACTTCAGAGTTTTCTTAATAAAAATACATAGAAACACACACAATAAAAATGTTACAAGTATTTCAATGCCCTGGAAAAATAAGCCCACTTAAAGACTAAGCATGAGACTTTATTTACGTTATGGTAGGTGGTTTCAAACAAGCTTGCTCAGCATACCTGTCACAGGCTCCTTCCCGCTTCTCCAGCTAACAGCTGAGATTGTAAGTCTTCACTAAACAGACTTCTCTCTTGTTTTTTCCTGTCTGTCTTTTGAGGCAGTCTTACTACATAGCCCAGGCTGGTCTGGAACTCACTATGTAAAGCAGGCTAGTCTTGAACTCAAAAGATCCACCTACCTCTGCCTCCCGAGTGCATGCAGGCCTCCTTTTCCTTTTTGAGATGGGGGTCTGGCCATGAATTTACCCCTTTGCTTCAACTCCTCAAGCACTGAGACTAAAGGTGTGTCTGGCCTAAATGTGACAACAATCAGGAGGAGTTATGGGAATCAGGGAGGAGGGAGTGTATATGCACACGCAGGCTACACCCCCCTCGTTCACACACCCAAACAGCCTTCTAAACTGCCCTGCTGATTCTGCCTGGGAAATACATTGCTGCGATCCCAACACTTTGTTCCCAACCTTCCTGTCTCTGAGGAACACCCAAGCTCCGCTCATTCTGTTTCTCACTGTGTTTCCTGCTTCTTGACGAAGCCTGCGCCCTGGAACTGAACTAATTTTGTAGGCCAACAGGCACAGAGAGACGAGGTGGCAGAAAAAGAAACACCCCAAACAGCTTTTACAGCCCTGTAAGTAACAGGGCAGGGCAGGGCAGGGCGGGGCAGGGCGGAGCACAGGTAAAATGTTTAGTATCTGGGTGTATCAAGGGAAGGTTTACTCTCTAAGTAGTTAGTAATAAGGAACATGGATTAAAAAAAAAATCAACATTTTAGATGAGTCTTAGTTCTTGACAGTGTGACCTCAAAAACAAAAGGAAAAAATAACAACTCAATTTTCTAAAAATTCAGTTATTTTACTAGGAGATCATTTTGTTATACACTCAAATAATCCAATTTAAATAACTCATACTTGGGCTAAAACTGCCTCATAGGTCATTCAGTGTGATTTTGGAATCAGTAATTAGATATGACCAGATATATAAAATAAATTTGTTCCAATTATGTAGCTTCAAATATATTTGTATAAAACCAAAATATGGGTCAGTTACTTCTTAAAACTCAAAGAGATAATACACAAACATAGGCACTTTGAATCTGTCCACTAAACAGTACACTACTTTAAAAATCCAGTGTACACCCGGGCATGGCTGTGCAGACCTATTATCCCAGCACCAGGGAAGTGGGAGGCAGGAGGATAAAACATTCAAGGCCAGCCTGGGCATGAACGCCTGTTGGAGTCAAGGCCTGCCTACATTAACCGAGACCTTTCTAGAAACAAAATTAAAAACCAAAACCAAACTAAACCAAACCAAATGACAGAAAACCAGTATACATGAGATATTAAGAAAATGAACATGAAACACTGTTTAAAGCTACCAAACCTAAATGTGGGCACAGACGCACGGTTAGGAGGTGAAAAGTACTGGCATGTTAGACTATGTCAAAAGATTAAAAACTTCTGCTCCTCTCTGGTAAGACAGTAACAATTCTCCAAACAGTTCCGCCCCCTTTTAATGTGTTTTAGGACCTGAACAGGGAAGAAGATCATATCAACATGCTTTAACAAAACGATTTTCTGATTTGTTTTAAAAAGCGGTTTTTAGAAGCTGGGCAGTGGTGGTGCATGCCTTTAATCCCAAAACTTGGGAGGCAGAGGAAGGCAGATCTCTGCGAATTCGAGGCCAGCCTGGTCTACAAGAGCTAGTTCCAGGACAGGCATCAAAGCTACAGAGAAACCCTGTCTCAAAATACGCCCCCCCCCCCCGCCCCAAAGTGTTTAAAAATTCCTAACGTCAAGGTGAAAAATACAATTTCATTTTAAACTATTAAGTAATATAAACTTAATTAACCATACTATAAATCAAGCTTTTTTTCAGCTGAAGATATCATTACAAGACTATTTCCATTCCTATATGTTAATGGGCTGAGCCCTTACCCCACACTCCTGTTGACTCTTAAGTCCAGCCTCTGAGAATGTGATTACACCTGAAGACACAAGGAACGCTCCCCCTCCCCCGCCTTCCTTTTTTCTTTTTCTCCAGGACTGGTGGTTGAACCCGGGGCCTTGAACTTGTTAGGCAAGTGCTGGACCAGTGAGCTATTTTCCAGCCCCAGAGACTTTAGAGAGGCAATTAAGTTAAAATGAGGTCACCACTACGTGCAGCATTAGAGCGAGAGGAGCGAGGACTCCGTCCTAAATGAGATGTCTATCAAACCTCTCCCCACAGGCTCCGGGATCCACATGGAAGAGGAGGTGGACAGACATGAGGCAGAGGTAAGGAAGACTCTAAGGCAACAGTCATCCAGACCCAACAGGACTGATAAACAAGACTAAACAGACTCCAGGAGCACCTCAAGACCTGTGCAGGTTCAAGCAGGAGAAAATTTCGGCATGGAGAAAGGAAAGTGGACACAGGCCCCATTCCTGGTCTTTTTAGATATTTGCAATTGACACCTGATGTGGGGGGAGGGGAAAGAAAATGTTTTCTCCAATGGAGTGTCACTGGTTACAACAGCCATACCCCAGGGCAGGCCCAGGAGTGGGTGGCCAATACAAAGTAGACTTCATGGTTTTTTGTGTACTTTATTTTTGTTTTGATTTTCAGGATTTTTTTTATTTTGTTTACACAGGAGAATGAACATGAAGTTGCAAGGCAGGAAGTTGGGGGAAGGGAAGTGATATGATCAAAATATATTGTATGAAAAAATCTCAATAGCCGGGCAGTGGTGGCGCACGCCTTTAATCCCAGCACTCAGGAGGCAGAGGCAGGCGGATCTCTGTGAGTTCGAGACCAGCCTGGTCTACAAGAGCTAGTTCCAGGACAGGCTCCAAAGCCACAGAGAAACCCTGTCTTGAAAAACCAAAAAAAAAAAAAAAAAAAAAAAAAAAAATCTCAATAAAAAAGGTCAATATAATCCTAATTCAATAAGACTAGTATCCTTAGGAGTGAAAATTAGTATACAGGCCAGTCATGGCAAAGTGCAAGGCAGAGCGCACCCTAAACAGAACAGTGGGCTAAACTTTTAGCCAACAGGTGAGAAAAGACCTTTTTATTTAAACCAACCAGTCTGCGGCCACCCAATAAAACAATATACTAACCACTTTTTGTTTGTTTGTTTCCGATGTCCTGGTTGGCCTGGAACTTGTTATCTAGACTAGGCTGACTTAAAACTTTCAACAACCTTGCTGCCTCTGCTTCCCAATGCTGGGGTTACAGACATGTGCCACTAGGCCTGGCTCACTTCTACTCTGAAAGTGCACGGGAACAACCAGACCCGAGCCTCCTGCCTAGTAAGTGACACACAGCAGTGCACGCCCTTTCTCAGACAGCGTCACCTTTTTAACTGGCCACGCAATACACAGCATTACGATAAAAAGGATGGTTTGGGAGAATGCTTTAGAGATTGTACACTGCAGGACCCTCTCTCTGAATTAACGTGAAAGACGTCTGAATAACGCACTTAGGGAGCTGTCACGGCGCTGGCGGATCGAGACATTTATTTACTTAACACTGAGGAGCTCTGCGGTTGCTAAAACTCCTCAAGGTCAGCATTAAGACATTGGAGTACACCTTTAAGGCAGATTCAAGGACTCTCCCCGCTTATGCTTCCTATGAACAACGAGAACATTAATCACCACTACCTCAGCATTCTACAGCATAACTTTTGGAGAATTCAAATGAGAAATAATAAAAAACAATAAGCATTTATTGGGCTACACATGAATGTGTGCCAGACATTGCTAAGGACCTGACATATATTATCACTATCTTGGTGACAGAAGTCACACCCCTCAACAACGTGTCACTGCAATCCCAGTTAAAAACGGCCAAGCCGAGGCACTGTGGCTGAAGGACTCGCTCAGTCTCACAGCCAGTATGTGGAAGAAAAGGGGTTTGAACCCAGTAAACCACTATTCACAGCTAATCTCACTTTATCAGCCTGAGGTGATGGGGCCTCAGAAATAACCTAATTCAGCCCCTCATTCACAAACAAGGACTGAGCATACGGCACAGCTAAAGAGAACCAGGTCTAGCACTGCGCATTACAATTTATTATATTTACTTATTTGTTGTGTGTGCGCGCGCGTGCACGTGCGCATGCCATGGCATCCATGTGGAGTTCTGAAGACAACCTGCCAGAAATGGTTCTGTACCATGTTGGGCCCAGGACTGACCACAGCAAATGTCCTTACCCACTGGGCCATCCTGCTAGCCCTACTTACTCATCTCTGAAATCTCGTCTACCTTGCTCTTTCGGACACTGTGATTAAGTTTGGGTTTGGTTCTTAGGGTCTTCTGTGTGTGTGTCTGTGCGTCTGTCTCTCTTGTTATTTCTCTGACATGTTGTCAGCAGGAGTACATGTGCATTGAGGAGCAGCTGTCTGTAAACAAGCATCTCTCTATCTGTTTGAGGATGCCAAGACAAAGCTATCAAAAACAGGCCTTCTGACTGGGCATGGGTGCACAGCTGTAATCCCAGCATGCAGGAGGCTGAGGAAAGAGGATTTCTACAAGTTCAAGGCAAGCCAGGACTACACAGTAAAACCCAGCTTCAAAAACAAAACAAGAAGCCAGGTCTGTTTACCTGAGTATCTGTTCACACCCTTTCACTTTTCTCGCCCACAGAAGACCATATAATTTTAGTTTCTGGAACGGGTGTGAATGAAAATTATTAAGTTTTTTTTTTCTTTTTTGGATTTTTCGAGACAGGGTTTCTCCGTAGCTTCTGGTTCCTGTCCTGGAACTAAAAATTATTAAGTTTTAACAAAACATTTTTCATTGTAATTTTAAGAAAAGACACATATCTTTAAACATCAGATTATCATAATTTGGTTTTCATACTTGCTAGTTAGTTTAAATGAAATTATAACAAGATTCTAGTCTAACATGTCTATTTTAGCTATCAGAGTCCTCCAAAATTCCACTCTTCTGACAAAACCAGAACAAGGGAACAATGGTTGTGTAGGTTGATTTCATTTTCAATAAGATGTTTCATGGGTCACAATTCTTGAGGCGGCCTGGATGGAAAAACCCTCAGTAGCTGCAGGAGATGAAGTCACCAGCTCCATGGGGATTGCAGAGACACACCAGCAGTTTGGAGGACTAACCGCCACAGTCACGGTGTCTGAACTGTGCTCGTGCCTTTCCCTGGACTCTGAAAACCTCCACACGAGCCTAGTTTTAACAATCTGTTGCCACCTGACTATTACGAGCAAGCAGCAATGTCTTCTGCTCCGGTCCTTCAGGGGAAATCATCCTCATGGGAGACAGTGCTCTGAACCGGAGAGAGCATGGACTTTGGAGCCTGACAACTGGGATTTCAAGCTGCCTCTGGTTCATTTAACATCTGAGCTGTAGCTCTTCATGTAGAAAACAGGATGACATACATTCTAGCAGGAGGCTGTGTGGACTCCATGAGCTAGTGCCTGTGGCTGTCAGTT